TTTGTGGTAGGCCTGTAGGAATGCTGGGACGGTCGGTCCCTGCTCCACCAAAGCTACCCCAAACCCCAGCAAGGACCACCTGGACCACCAGGTCGGGAGGGGGGGTCTTGGCCGGGGGTGAGGGTGGGCCGTGGTGTCCTACGTAGGGCACGTAGCCAGCATGTGACCACCGGATCCAGCAGGTCCCATCCTGCTTGCAAGGATCAGTACAAAGCTGACGTCTCTCCTTTCAATATGGACCTTTGGGCGTCGACGTTGCAGAGCGAATGCGTGGCGGGAATGGGGCGGCACGTATCGCGCGCGAAAGGGCGAGATGCCGCTCTCGCTTTGGCGCCACGCTTATGTTTCCTGAGAGTTGAGCTCCCGCTTGGAAGTGGCGTGCGCTTTCGCTTGCCAAGCCTTCGCCGCGCGAACAGGATGAGGGTGTCGCTCTCGGTTCGGCGCCTCACGGATTTCTCCGGAGAGCGGCGCCCCCGCTTCGGCGCGGTGCACACTTCAGATTTCGTAGCAGAGCGCAGGGGGTCACAGCCCTCCCAGACGGGCAGTTTTTGACCCCCCAGACCAGCCATGAAAGGGCGGCCTTTCGCCCAGACCCCGCTGGAACCCTCCAGGACAGCTCGAATCAGACCCACAAATCAGACCATCCCCCTTTCTTACCATTAGGGCTACTATGATTGGCATTCGTGCTAGATTTTTTTTTGTTAAACTGCTTATTGCTATCATTACTTCAGATTTCGTAATAAAAGGGAGGGGGTCTGGACCCTCCAAGACAAGCCATTTCAGACCCCCCCCCGTGGGAGAACCCTCCAAAACATCGTCCCCAGACCCCCCAGGCCCTCCAAGATAGCCTGCCTGGAAGAGACCCCCCCCCGAAATGAGACCTCCCTCCCTGTATTACGAAATCTGGAGTATTCGTATGAAATCAGAAGCGCGTTTTACTCGCCAAGTGGTTGCGGGTGGGGCCTCGCGCGAGCGGGCCTTGTCGCCCTCGCCCAATCTCCGTGCCGATGCCGCTTGGGAGCGGTGCCACCGCGCGGGCGCTGCGCACGTCATCGTGCGCCGACCCAACACGGCACCAGTTGCGGGGCTCTGCGAGGGAGCGGGCCGCCCGGGAGGCCTCCGGGGCCGATTCCGACGCCCGGGCCGGCGCGAGCCGGCGCCCGGGCCGGACGCCCGAGCCGGCGCCCGGGCCGGCGCCCGGGCCGGGTCCGGAGCCGGTTCCGGCCGGCGCCGGAAAATCGAGTTCCGAGGCGGCGCCGAAGAAAACCCATTCCAATACACGTTTTTACCCGTGCTGTCTTCGCCCAGGCGTTGCGCAGCTCGCCCGTGGACGTGGCAGCACTGCTTCGGCGCGGCGCGCGCCTCGGGCTCGCCGCGCGCACGCGGCACCTGATCGCCCGCGGTCAGCATGGCGTTCTCGCCGCAGCGCCGCACAGGGAGTTTCTCAAGTTCTGTTCCCGCCCGTGCGCCGCCGGCGTGCCTTCCCTTCGTGGGGTTCTCGAAGGCGGGAGCGCACGCGAGCAAAGGCGCGCCCGTCCCAATATCGAGCCGTCCCACCATGACTGCGTGTGCTGCTGGGGAGAAGGGGGGGGGGACGGGCGGTGCCCACTGGCTCGCTCGACCTGGCTGGCTGATGCGACCCCCATCGTACGCCCCCTCGCCCCCCGCTCCTCACAGGGAAGCTGTTGGGGACTTGCTAGCACCGTGCTGGTCACGGATGGGCACCTGAGGCAGGCTCTGTCCCAGAGAGTGGCCGTGAGTTTGGCGCGCAAGCCCCGTCGTGTGTGGGGCCGTCTTCTGTTCACGTAAGTTCCCTCTTTAGCCCTCGGAAGGCTCGGGCTCTGCGTCCCTGACGTGGTCATTTCCTCATTCACCCCCGGTGACTGTAACGATCGTGCGTAGGGCGGGGCTTGGACCCCCCGATCATGCCCGCGTTGGCGCGCGTATTATTCGGCACGGGCGAAGTGGGACGGAAAGAGCGGGCACGAAAGCCGACAGCAGTTTTTGCTCATTTTGAACCGGATTCGTCGTCGGTGTCAGACAGAAGGCCGCCTGCCCAGCATCGGCCGCTGTCGGTTTTGGGTCACGTTTGTTGTTGGGCATCGTGCCCGTTTTTCCGCAACAGTCTCTGGCGTTCAAGATTATGGCGATTGCAGAGCACCCCCCCGACGTGCCCCACCCCGCCCAAGCGTTGCTGCTACCCGTTGCCCCATACCCCACCCCGCCTCCCTTGGGGGGCGCGTAATGATGAGGGGGGCGATAAATCGGGGAGGGGGGGGGGGGGAGCGAGGGCTTCCGAAAAGGGGCCCTTTAGGGCCCCGAAAGGGGCCGTTTAGGACCCAGGAAGAGGCTGATGGGTCCCGAGAAGGGCGCCTTTCTTCGCCCCCCGTGTGCGCGACACTCCCCCCCCGAGGCAACCACCGTTCCGGAGGCCCTCGCCCTGCGCCTTCCGCACCCCCCGCGCGGCAGGTGCCGGGCCGCCGCGGCCGCCTCGCGGCGGCACCTCCTGCGCGGAAGGCGCGGAAGGTGCAGGCCGAGGGGATCTCATCGAGGGGCGGCCAGCCCGGGGGGGCAGGTGAGAGGGGGCGGGCCGTCTCAGAAGGCCTGGAAGACCTACGCCCGAACAGTTTCCTACCCCCGCCGCCGAAGACTGAGAAGTTTCCTGCGCCCGCCGCCGAAGACCGAGAAGTTTCCTACGCCCGAGGCCAGCCTTCTGAGAAGTTCCCTGCGCCCGCCGCCGAAGACCGAGAGCATGTCAGCAGGCCCGAGGGCTTCCGAGAGAAGCCACGCCGCCCGAGGCCGGGCGGGGGCCGTGCCTCGCGCGCGGCGGCCGGCGGCCCAAGCCAGGGCTCGAGCTGAAAGGTGCGTAGGCTGTCGTTCTGACCTCGCCTCGCCGCAGGGGCACGGCGCGAAGGCAGCGCGAGGCCGCGCGGTCGCGACGAACGAAGGCGGCACGCCCTGCTCAGCTCGAGTCCCGGGCCGAGAGGACCACGGCAAGGCGAGGCCACACACCTCGGTGGAGCCCGTGGGGGCGAGGGGGGCGGCGCCTGGGAGCCGGCGCCCGCCGCATGGGGCCGCGCCTCGCGCGGCGGCCGGTGGCCCAAGCCAGGGCTCGAGCCAAACTCAGGAGGGGAAAAAACACACAGACACAATTAATCGTCGATTCTACAGGCTTACGCCACTTTCGCCGACCCCTTCTGTGACTGTTGCGAGGCCAGGAGTTTCTGGCCAGCGGCGTCTTGTGTGAGGGTGCGGTGTCGCGCGCGGGTGGTGGCAGATACGTAGGGGGTCCACATGTTTGCGTGATGCCGGTGGTCTGGGGCGTGTTTTGCGAGCGCTTTGCGTGCTGTGCACCCGGGTGCGGGGTGTCCTTCTGGGAGGTCGGCCTCTCGCCCCTCAACCAAGTGGAGGAGCACCGGAAGACGAAAGGAGCAAGAGTAGCGTGCGGAAGCTGTGATCAGCGAAGCATCACCGCGAAAGATGTGGCAGATGAGTCGAAACGGGTGAAGAGGCTGTTGACGTTCGCAGCGCGCACGAAACAGTTCGCGTAGCAGCAGCACGTCGCGTAGCACAGCGCCGAGCAAGATTGTGAGCACGTCGCGAGGAAGAGCAAGGCTGCATGCGCGGAGTGCATTGCAGTTGGCTTGACGGCTCGCAATGCGGAAGCGTCTGGTGGTCTTTTGGAGGCCTCCTGGGGGCCTCTTGGGGGCTCCTTGGGGCGTCTTGGCGGCCTCTTGGGGGCCTCTGGCGGCCTCTTGGGGCACTCTTGGGGCCCCCTGGGGCTCGTGGGGGCGGGAAGCTAGATTTTTGAATTTTTGGTTGCCCTCTTGGGCCCCTCTTGGTGCCGTCTTGTCGGAAATGCGCGGAAGAACGTCAGAGGACGACGCTTGAGTCCAATAATAGGAAACGGAGAGCCGAGGCGGAAGCGAAGCCGCTGACGTGCGCGGCGTGCGGAGGAGCGTTCTCAGACACGAAACATTTGAGGCAGAGCCAAAAAGAACATCATCGATGGTCGAATCAAAAAAAGGTGGTGTGCGGAAGCTGCGCGGCACTCGGGTTCACAGCCCGCAGTTGCCAGGCGTATCAGTGCAGCGGCGCGTGCAAGAGAAGACTACCGAAGTCGGCGTTCCCCGACCCTCACAATGTCCCGCGCGACGCAAAAAAAGGCACTCTGAAGTGCAAGACCTGCAAATGATGCCGAATCGGGCGCGCGCGCTGAGGAAAAAGGAGAACGAGGACAGGAGAATGGGGGGTGAGGCGGAGGACACAGGGGAGAATCATCGAACGTGTCGAGGTGACGGGCCATGAACAAGAGGAGGGGGACGAGGAGGAGGGGGACGAGGAGAGGGTGGTTGAGGAGGAGGATGAGGGGGACACTGAGAGGAGGCTCTGGGTTATGGTCTTTGGGTGAGAGGTTCTTGTATGTGTATCGGAATTTCGCGGCACTCCTTTCGGGGGCCTCTGGAAAGCAGTTTTGACGCCACTGGGGGGCCGACGTGGACAAGGCGGGTGAGGGGGAGGAGGAGGGGGACGCGGAGGAAATGTTCTGGGTCATGGTTTTGGAATTCTTCGCCTCGGGAGCGCGAATCCCGCTTGTGCGATGATCGCTGGGATCTCTGGTGGTGCTTCTCGCGGGACTCTTGGAGGCAGTTTCGAAGCCTCTTGGGGGCCGTTTTGGGGCCGTTCTGGGGCCTCTTGGGGGGCCTCTTGGGGCCTCTTGGGGGCGTCTTGGGGGCCTCTTGGGGCCTCTCGGGGCCTTTTAGGGCCGTCTCGGGGCGGAAGGCTCGGGATGTCAGTTCGGGCTCCCTCTCTTGGGCCCCTCTTGGGGCCGTCTTGGGGCTCTCTTGGGCCGTCCTGGGGGCCTCTTGGGCTGTCTTGGCGCCCTCTTGGGCGGACTTGGGCGCGTGTTGGGGGCCTCTTGGGCCGTCTTGGGGCGGTCTTGGGGTGCTCTTGGACCGTGTTCAACGCCGTGAAGGCCGAGAAGCCGTATATGATCAAAATGTACGTTTTCCATAGGAATTTGAAGATTTTCGGCTCTTCGGCCCTTCTGAGAACTGCTCTTGGAGGCCTCATGGGCCGTCTTGGAGGCCTCTTGGCCCGTCTTGGGGCCATCTTGGGCGCCTTGGAGCGTTCGTTTGGCGTCTCGGGGCCCTCGTGGGCCGTCTTGGAGGAGTCTTGGGGCCTTCTTGGGCCGCCTTGAGAGACTTTTGAGCCCCAAGAAGCTCCGTGAGTCGCTCGGGCGGGGCCATGGGGGGGGGGTCAAATCGCCAGTTTGGGGTCCCTGGGGGGGGACTGTAGGGGGGGGAACTATCTCACACGCCTAGGGACCCACAAGGGGTCGAAAAACACACAGACACAATTAATCGTCGATTCCCAGGAAAATATGGGAAAATATGGGAAGTGGGGGGGAAGACAAAAACCCAGAAAATATGAGGAAATATGGGGAATCTGTTTATTTGTGTGTATTTATTTGTGTGTCCTGGGGCCCCTTCACAAACGTCAAGCAGTGGGGAGGCGTCCTGGCTCGCCTACAGTCCGGCGATCGCAAACATTTCGGCACGAGCGAAACGGGTACGGAAAGAATGGGTACAATGCCCAACAGCAGTTCTGGTTCATTTTGAACCGGACTCGCTGTCCGCGCCGCCGCGGCCCGTGTCCATTCGAGACAGAAGGCCGCCTGCCCAACAGCGGCCGCTGTGGGTTTGGGACAACATTTGTTGTTGGGCATTGTACCCATGTTTTCCGTACCCATTTCGGGCGTCCAAAAACATGGATCAAGGGGGCGTGGATTAGCGACGGGTCCCGATTCCATGGGAAATCGCGGATTTCCGCCGCCGAAGGAGGCGGCACCGGCCGCACTTTGGGGAGGGCACCTTCCCATTTGTGTTCCTTAGATCGCTTTGGGGTTTAAGAACATGTCGTGGTAGGCCTATAGGAATGCCAGGATGGTCAGTCCCTGCTCAAGTTTTGGCGATTTCGCGGACCGTTGTCATTCTGATCTCGTCTTGCAGCAGAGGTGGAGCGAAGACATAATCAGGGGCAGCGATAGGGGGGATGGGCACAGGGGGGGATGCATCGACCCCTGGTCGCCCACTGATCGCCGATCGGATCCCGATATCCCCACCCCCCCAGGCAGGTGCGGATTCGCTGTCGGCAACCTGTAGCCGATCTATCGGCGATGCATCGCCGATTCCATGCCGACGTACCCCCCCCCTATGCCAGTCCCCCCCTCCTCGTGGCCCCTCACAGGGCGAGGGGTACCGAAAACGACACGAAAACGGAGACAGCACTGCTTAGCTCGGACCCTGGCCCAAGCCCGCGCGCAGCGCGCGCAGGCTGGACGCCTCGGACGAGGCGGCCGTCGTGCCCGAGGCCCTGAGGCGCCCGGGGGACGAAGAAGAAGCAGCTGCATAAGCATACTGTAGGCTTTCGACTGTCCGCACAGGTTCCTCGGTTCGGCGCTGGACCCCCCCCTCCCTGGCGCGCGGAGCGCGCCAGGGGCGGCGCTGGAGGCGCCATCAAGGGGGCCCAGCGCCGATCCAAGAAAGCCGCGCGGAGCTCCAAAAGGTTGTGTTTATGCATTTTCTGGTTCTTCTAGTGGGGGGGGGTAACCAGCCCTCGATCCATGCCATGCGCAAATGGTGATCGTGGCAGGATGGCGGGTGGGCTCTGTTCTCGTTTTTTGTGCACGGTATAGCAGCAAGCAGCATGTCCGTCAGTTGGATTCAGTGTGTGTGTGTGTGTTTGAGGTAATTTCCTAGTACCCTACGTGGCGCTCAACCAGGCTATGCCCACCCACATCAGTGAAAGTTCATGCGTTGGTCTCCAGCACAAATCGGACAGACATGTTTCTCGACGCGGATCCGCTGGCACGCATCCGTGCGCACAAACGACATTTGTGCGCACGGATGACCGTGCTCATTGGCAGTGTCTCGAGGACAGCGACGAGGACGGAGGCGACAGCGGCGACGAGGGCGGGGGCACCAGCGAGGACGGGGGCGAAGACGACGGTGTTGTCGCCTCCGTCGTCGTCGTCCTCGTCGTCGTCCTCGTCCTCGTCCTCGTCGTGCTCGTCTCCGTCGTTGGTCTCGTTCTCGTTGTCCTCGTCTTCGTTCTCGTCTTCGTTCTCTCCCCATTGTCCTCGTCTACGTCGTTGTCCTCATCATCTTCGTCCGCGTTGTCGTGTTCGCAGCAGGCACTAGGAGCTAGGAGGAGTTCCCAGGTGCCCCCACTCTAGTAGGAGCATACAGGAGGATAGGAATCGAGGAACAAGGATGAGCGAGGGAAGAGGGTCAAGGGATCAAGAGTTGGCCGATGTGCCAATATCTTAGCTCCTGCAAGAGGGCGAGCCAGGACAGCAACAACTGTACAACAAATTAACGGAGTGGAGCGGCGCGGCATTGATGGGGTCTTCGCAGCCGCAGAAGGCAGCCGTCTCGAGCGGGTATCGATACGTTGGGTCGGTTCTCTCGCTAAGCTTTCAGCTATCACCTTGAACCCTCCAGCTTAGATGCCAGCGCATCACCATAGCATGTCTAGGCATTGGTCGTGTGGATGCCTAGGCATGCAACTGCTGATGCCCAAGAATCCGAATGTGTATATGCCTACGCATTCATCGCGGTATGCGTTTATGGACGCAGCTGGACGTAGTTGGGCATAGCTGGACTTAGCGGATGACTTGGCCTCGAATTGGCCATGTTTAGGCGTCGACAGGACGGTAAGCAGGGTAGGTATCGACCGTTCAAGGTGCCAGAGCCAGTGAGCTGTGCCAATCGATACGCCAGCGGGCACAGGGCGAGTAACCACTCGCAGCTCTGCCCCCAGTGCTGAGGCAAAGCTGTGACACGAAAGTGTCATGCCGTCCCGTCGTCTGTCGTCTCCCTCCTCTCTGTGCCACAGGGCTCCCCCCTGCGCTGGCACAGCAGACAGCGCCACGAACGTGCCCAGGACAGCCCCAGCGGAATGTGTTGACCGTCAGATATGACGTCCGCCGGTCGGAGAGGTTCCTCTTTCTCCTCCTCCTCCTCCTCCTCCTCCTCCTCCTCCTCCTCCTCCTCCTCTGGCTCCGGCTCTTGCTCATCCTCCTCTTTCTCCTCCTCCTCCTAGCCGCCGCTGTTGCTCGAGCGATTCGTCTGGCGGCAGGCCAGAGATTTTTGCAGCAACGCCAGCGGGACTCCCCCCTCTTTCGCCCAAACGCCTTCTGAGCCGTGGCCGACCACAACGACGATACTTGCGTGGAATCCGCATGGCGCCCGTGGGAATCGTTTGGAAGAGATTGTTTTGTCGTACAGATCGGTTGACTTCATTCTATTCGGAGGCACGCAAGCGTGTGACTGGAAGGCCGCGGAACCGCTGCAGCGTCGGGTCCAGGGGAAGTGGGTTGTAGAGAGCGAACTCAGCCCAGAACACTAGACTAACAGCAGCACAGGTTGCGCGGTGATACTCCGTCGCAACTACCGAGTGAACGACATACTGCGTGTTTGGCCAAGCCCGCCGGGCGCAGAAGGACGGGCACTCGTGGTCAGGATCAAACGTGATTGCCAGGACTATTGCCTAGTGGTGCTCGACCTCCCTCCCCAGCCGCGCAGTTCCGCTGAGGTGCCGCACTATCTTGAGACAGTGCGCATCCTGGGAATCTGGCTGGACGAGGTTTTCAGCTCGCTGCCGACGCGCTGCTGCCCCATCGTGCGTTCGGACGTGAACGACGGGATCGGCTTCATTCAAGTGGCTTCGGAGTGGCAGTGGGTATCTGACGGAGTGGTGGAGACAGAAGCTAGACGACTAGGAGCTGGTGATATCATCCGTATGAGAGCAGCGAGGCACCACCTGATGGCGGCGAATGCGCACTGCGGCTGGACGCCAACATATTTCAGCACCAAGGGCGGCGATATCTTCTTCCCGATGCGCATGGCGGACGCGACAGTTTGATGTCACCCAGTTCGAGGGTTGGGATCACAACTACAGGCCTTCAATGGGGACTCCCCTACAGGATGATGTACCAGTACTGCTACACATACGTTTGCCGAGGTGTTTATTGTTGTTCAACAAATGTACAGAGAACCGAAACTGGCCAGGGATTGAGACACGATCATGAATGCCTTACGCGGGGAAGGTGACCTGAAGCGCGATTTCTTGCGACTTGTTGAAGTCCGACTGAGTCTTGAGGATATTGACAGGACGGGGCTAATTCGCGGAGGCGGTCCCGACGGCTTCTTCGATGACATGAATCGTGTCTTGGTGGAGGCAGGTCAGACCCTCTTTCGCCCTGGCCATTAGGAAGGGTATCGTGGCGATGCTGAGAGGCGACGCGAGCTACTTCGCCAGCGAGCTGAACTCCGAGCAGGACTACGACATCGTGGTCGCGCGGCTTCGGAGGAGCACCATTTGGATATCAAGGAGCAGCTGCAGTAGGTGACCTGAGCATTATTCCAACAGCGACAGCGGGAGCGTGTTGAGCGCAAGCGTATCATGGAGGAGGAGATCCTGGAGGCTAGGAAGTCACGTAAGTTGGCGATGGCGGTGCGGCTGTCAAGGCAAGCTAGCCGCTGCAGGTTCGGGCCACAGGAACGAGACGGCAGCGCAGTCAGAGCAGCGCAACCTACCCGAACCGAATGGTTGGAGGCCTGGAAGCAACAAAGCAAGCATGGTGGGATATCTGCGCAGGAGGTGGAGGCGCCGAGGATGGAGTTGTCCGAGGAGCCACTCCCCGATCTGACCCTTGAGATGGAGGATCGAGCCAGGAATGGTATCAAACGTGTCTCATGGGCGGCGCAGAAGGCTGGACGTCGCAGGGCTGTGCCTGGGCGCTGCCCACCAGTCGAGATGAGGCAGTTATGCTTGCGTCCTGGCCGAGGATTCGCATCCGTAGAAAACTGCAGGGGGTAAGTCCGCAGCGCTGCACGCTCGACGCCCCCCCCCCCCCCCCCCACGCACACACACACACACACAGACGCACGCACACACGCACACACACACACACACACAACACACACACACGCACACAAACACACACGCACAACCACCGCAACCACCACCACCACCACATCGGTCGCAAGGTTTTGGCGCCGAGCGCGCGCTGGCCGAGCTTGCGTCTGCAGGAATGGAACTCAGTCGACAGGTGGAAAAAGTGGACCTCGCAGATGTCAAAGATAAGACGCAGCTCCCAGGTAGCAGCGCGAGTCCCAGGACATCTTCAGAGGCCAGTCTGCGCAGTCTTGGGGGGGCGCAGCACTCGCGCTGGAAGGAACTCGGGGGCGGGCTACGGGTCGGGTCGGAGGTTGGGCAGAGGCGCCAAGCACGAGCGGCCGGTTGTTGCAGTTGCCCGCCTCAGGAGGCTTATGATTCGAAATATAGCAAAGCGCCGCCGTCTCGTCGCTGCGATGGTCAAAGCCGCAGTCGAGACCTGCGCGGGATATGGCAGCAGCGCCACTAGCACCAATAGCCAGAGCTGCTTATCAGACTCAGGCAGCGGGTAGGGAGCCAAGGCCCCACTAGCTCCTCCTCGCCCATGCTCCGTCTCCTCCTGGCCCCTGGGCGCCAGGCGGGCCCTCTGCTCGAGGCTTCCGCTGAACCGCTCTGCGTTGCGCTGGCTGCTTGGAGGCAGCAGTGAGCCCCGAGGAATGCGATCGGGCAAGGAGTAGGCCAGGCCCAAGGGAAAGCCCGATCCAGCAAATGCAGCCCGCGGCAGTCCGCATCGGGCCCCGTTCCCTGCCTACCCGGCCACGCTTGCGCGATTGGACATCAAGGCCGATGGTTTTCAAAGCTGGACTTTTACGTGGGGCCTCACCATGCAGCCTGTCAAGTTGTGCGCCCACGGGCCCCAGAAGCTCGTTGACACGGCCTGCGAGGCCTGGCAGCAGAAGTAGATCTGCTCGACCCACCTGTGCCCAGAACTTTGGACAGGCATTTTGCTCGAGCCGCTCGTTCAGCTGCTGGGTAGCACCTCGCACCTCTCGCCCGAGGACAAGGCCTATCTTCGATGTGTCATCATCGGCGCGCGATGGGCGCAGCAATTGATGTTCGATGCTAAATGTGTTCAATCGACGCTATGCCGCGTGTGTGAAGGCTTTCTTGCCGCGCTCCACCGCTGCCATCTTGAGTGCGATGGCTTGATCACTGCCAGGCTGCAGCCCGCTGGCGCGCTTCGCCGCGCTCTGCCCTGGGACCCCATCGGAGCTGGCTTGTCTCCTCCACGTAGAGCTCCAGCGCCGTAAAACGGGTCCTGCAGTTGCCTTAATTCGCCCCGGGGAAGTTTTACCTGGGCAAACGCGAGGCACTCACGGGAGACTTGTGTGTCGATGGCTTTTGATATGACCATGATGTGCCTAATGCGTGCGTTTCAGATTGGGTCGTCATTGCCATGCGCCCGGATCGACCACCTCCGCGCGATCTCACCGATTATTCTGCGTCGGTGGTTTATGCTGCGGGAGCGGAGGGCCCGACTCAGAGCGTTGATCGTGCTGAGCTGGCTGCAGTTTTGCACGCGCTCCTCGTGGCCCTCCCGTCCGCCACCATACACACTGACACAGATTTCGTCTATCGAGGCATCGTGGAGCTAGGGCGGGAGCGTCGCTGTGGCCTGACTTCAGCTCATGCTGATGTGTGGGAGCTCCTCTGGGAGAAATTAGATGAGGTGTGGAAATGAAGGCCCGCCCCGCCCCTGATCAGCGCGTCTTGTTTTCTCCTGGCCTTGTTGCGGGGAATCGGTTCGCTGATTTGTGGGCGAAAAAGTCAACTTGTCAGTGGCGCGTTGATTTCCGTCGCGTTTTGATTGCGGGGGGCATTCGCCTCGTATGTCGGCCAGCGAGGAGCGTGGTGACGATTCAGATTGAGTTGTGTGCGTGGTCTGTGGCGCCGTGTCGACGCATCCGGTCATGAGATTGGGCCAGAGTTGCGGGCCTCCCTCGACCTGGGACCGCCGTGTGCTCAAGGGCCTTGATCGTTTGAAACTGTTTTTTGGGGGGGTCGTTGGATTCCAGTTGAGAACCGCCCTTCTGGAATGCTCGGAAGTGATCTGATCCGGGGCGCAGCGCAGCTGTAGGGGGCAGGTTCACTGACCCTTCTGTCGTCGTCTGTCTGCGTCGCAGGAGGAGAGGAAGAACGAGGAGGAGGAGGAGGAGGCGGAGCAGGCGGAGGAGGAGGACGAAGGAGGAGGAGGACGAGGAGGAGGAGGAGGAGGAGGATGAGAACGCGGAGGAGGAGGACGAGGCGGAGGAGGAGGAGGAGGAGGAGGAGGAGATGGCGGAGGAAGAGGAGGCGGAGGAGGCGGAGGAGGAGGAGGACGAGGCGGAGGAGGAGGACGAGGCGGAGGAGGCGGAGGAGGAGGAGGAGGAAGAGGAGGAACAGAAGGAGAAACAGGAGGAGGAGGAGGAGGAGGAGGAGGAGGAGGGCCCGCCGCCAGGCGCGATACCAGCCCCTCGCGGCAGGCGGAGGCGCGGGCGGCTCGCCCTTCAGCGGCGGGCGACGCGCCCCCCCCGCGGGCCCCGCGGGCCGCCGCCGCGCGGCCGAGCGCCACCTCCGAGCTGTCCAGGTCGTCCACGGTCTCCGAGCTGCCCGGCCGGGCGAGCGTGCTCGCGCCGAGAGCGTCCACGGTGGTCGCTGCGGGGCATCAAGCAGTGGCGAAGCGTCCCGGCTCGCTCATAGTCCCACCAGGCAATGTTCTGATAACCTTCTGTGGTTTTCAAACACTGTTCTTGGAGCATGTCTGGCGGAACCCGTCTTGTTTTACCACATCGGGCTTACTATGTTCTAAGAACCTTGTTTTTGTTATTCGAGCATTTTTGGATTCTAAGAACATTTCGTGATATGACTATAGGATTGCCGGGACGGTCGGTCCCTGCTCAAAAGCCAGCCACGCGCAGAGGTCGACTACGCGTGGGAGTGGCCCTTCGCCGAGGTGACCTTTGGGTGCGGGCCCATGGGGGCCCCCCGACCGCCGAACGCGATGCGATGGCCGCGTCATGCGCGCCTGTGTTTGGTCCCCATTGCGGTCCCCGAAAAGCTGTGCATCAGAGGTCGCTGTTACCCAGGATCACTCTTGCGTGCAGCCGAAGAGGAGGGGGAGGGAGGGGTGTTTTTGAAAAGCACCCATCCTCTTGAGAAGGCGCGGGCCTTACCTATAGGGCCGGCGTCCTTGAAGGAGCGGCCTCCTTCTAAGAAGCCCCCCCCCTTCCCCTATAACCCCGCGTGCGCACCGCCAAGACAAGGGGGGTCCGGGGAGGATGCGCTTAGGAGTCTGGGCTGAGCGTGTCGCTCCGCCTGCTCAGTCCCCAGGCGTCCACGTGCCGAGCGTTCCCCGCTTCCCCGCCCCACGGGCCCGAGCGACACGCTTTCCGCTCGCAAGGCACAGCGCATCGCCAGGGCCGCCGCCGCGACACGCTGCGCAAAAATTGCCGGCCGTGAGGTACTCTGGATTCCAAAATAAAGTGGGGGGGTCTGATTTGAGCTGTCGTGGAGGGTTCGGGGGGGTCTGGGCAGAGGGCCGCCCTTTCATATAGATGGTCTGGGGGGGTCTAAGACTTCTCGTCTGGGAGGGTTGTGACCCCCTTTCCTTTTCTTACGAACTCTAGGGTGCGTGCCGATGCCGCGGCTCTTCCTGGAGAGCCCTCCGCCGCCGCGGCCGGAGTGGCCCCGAGACGGGTCAGGACGCACCCTTCCTGGGAGAGGTCCGCGGAGCAGCGGCACCGCCACCTTGTCGCCCCCCTAGGGGGCAACCGAGTGTCGCTCTCGCTCTGCCCTTCTCCCTTTGGGGAGGAGGAGCAGGCGGAGGAGGAGAAGGAGGAGGAGGAGGAGGAGGAGGAGGAGGGGGAGGGGAAGGGGGAGGGGGAGGAGGAGGGGGATGGGGGAGGAGGAGGAGGAGGAGGAGGAGGAGGAGGAGGAGGAGGAGGAGAGGAGGAGGAGGAGGGGGAGGGGGAGCGCCAAGACCGGGGTACACAAGACTCATTTCGACTGTTCCGATTCGATTCGATTCGATTTCGATGGACTCCGATTCAGGTTCGATTCGACTTCGGATGTCGATCCGGGATCCGATTTCTCAGTGGAGGCCTACTAGCATGCCGATTCACGCCGATTCGACTTTTCCCAACACGGCTGCCGATTTCCGCCGATCCGATGTATGTCGATCGCCGATCCGATTTGTCGATTCGATTCTGGGCCCTCCTGGGGTACATCTCAGAGTTTGGAACGGCCGTGGCGCCCGATGATACATCCTCCTCAGAGCCGGCTGCTCTCAAGGGTCCTTGATGTTTCTCGGGCCGCACGGAAGGGGGGGATAGGGAAAGGAGGGGGTACGAAATCTGCTGCATGCTGCTTGTTCCGGCCCCGCCGCCGGGCCCATTCCTCGATGCATGGGCGCCTCCCGGCTCCGGGAGGCGCCGGGAAAATCAGCTACGTGAGCTGATTCTCAGACCGCCCCTTTGCTATCCCCCCCTTCGCCCGGCCCGATTCTTCTTGGTTCGATCTTGCTCGAGGTCGTTCACATTGTTCGGCTGCCCGAAGGCTTGCCACCACCACCACCACCATAAGTTGGAGGGGGGAAGGAGGAGGAGGGCGAGGAGGAGGACGAAGAGGAGGAGGAGCAGGATGAGGAGGAGGAGGCGGAGGAGGACCCCCCTCCAACTTGTGGTGGTGGTGGTGGTGGAAGACACGCCCATCATCGCCTGGTGCTCAGGTGCGAAGTGTTGATCCTGGGGGAAGTCCTGGGGTCGTCGGCCCCCGTCGGCCCCCCCTCTCGTCTTGCAGCCGCTGCGTCGTCTTTGGACGCGGCGCCCGTCTCGTTGATCTTCTGTCCTTCCTCCTCGTCCTGTCCCTCCTCCTCCTCCTCCCTCCTCCCTCCTCCTCCTCCTCCTCGCCTCCTCCTCCTCTCCTCTCCCTCCTCCTCCTCCTCCTCTCCTCCCTCCTCCTCCTTCCCTCCTCCTCCTACCCTCCTCTACTCTCCTGTCCTCTCCTCCCTCTCTCTCCTACGACACTACTACTACTACTATTACTACTACTACTACTACTACCTCTACGCGCTATTACTACTACTACTACAACTAACACTACTACTACTACTTACTACTAACTACCTACTACTATAACTACCACTACTACTTACTACTAACTACTACTATCTACTACTACTACTACTACTACTACTACTACTACTACTACTACTACTACTACTACACTACTACTACTACTACTACTACTACTACTACTACTACTAATACTACTACTACTACTACTACTACTACTACCACTACTACTACTACTACTACTACTACTACTACTACTACTACTACTACTACTACTACTACTACTACTACTACTACTGACTACTACTACTACTACTGACTACTAACTACTACTACTACTACTACTACTACTACTACACTACTACTACTACTACTACTACTACTACTACTACTACTACTACTACTACTACTACTACTACTACTACTACTACTACTACTACTACTACTACTACTACTACTACTACTACTACTACTACTACTACTACTACTACTACTACTACTACTACTACTACTACTACTACTACTACTACTACTACTACTACTACTACTACTACTACTACTACTACTACTACTACTACTACTACTACTACTACTACTACTACTACTACTAACTACTACTACTACTACTACTACTACTACTACTACTACTACTACTACTACTACTACTACTACTACTACTACTACTACTACTACTACTACTACTCACTCCTTCTCCTCCTCTTCCTCTTTCTCCTCCTCCTCCCCCTCCCCGTAGCCATTTTGGCTCAAGCCCTGCTGGCTCAGGTTCGCTTCGCTGACTCAAGCCCCGTGCTTGCGGCCGCAGCGTTCCGATGCCGCGGGCGGTGGACGGGCGCCGCGCTGCCCTCGAGGCGGCCCGCGGCGCGCTCGTGGCCGCGCACGCTACCTGCGGGCTGGCGGCCGCTCACTCCCTCGACGGAATGCGGCTGCTGCGTGCGGCCGAGGGCCTCCTCCGCACGGCGGCGGCAGTGCTCGGCGCGCCCGAGGCGGCGCCCCCGCCTGAGCCCGACGCTGCCCAGCCTGCGGGCCGCCCTCGGCGGCGGCGACGGCTGCGAGGGCGAGGCGGTGCTGGCGGCCTTTCCTTGGCATCGCTCGGACGTGTGCATTTTTCTTTCGGCGAGGACCATCGAGGAGCATCCTTGATCATTTGGCGAAACAACCACGCACGAAACCCCAAAAACAACAGGAAATGGACGTCCGAGCGATAGCCAGTTTCTGGACTCGCCGAGCTTGGCGACGACGCTTCGATGGAGGTGGTGAAGGTGGAAGGCCTCGGGAGCGGAGCTGGGGAGGGCTGCTCCCGCTCCGTCGGCGCTGGCGGCGGCGCGCGGGGGCTCGCAGGACGAGGGCCACGCGACTCCGCCCTCGCCCCTGCCCGGCGGCAGCTGGGCCGACGAGCTCCCAGGTCCGCGCGGCGGCCCCCCTCTCGGTGCTGGTGCTCCTGCCGCAGGTGGCCTCCCCGCGCGCCGCGCGCCCGCCCGCCGTGGGGGCGGTGCGCCCTGCCGCGGCGGCTCCTGGTGGAGCTGCTGGTGCTGGACGCCCGAGATGGGCATGGAAAGAATGGGTACGATGTCCAACAGCAGTTCCTGTTCATTCTGAACAGGATTCGCTGTCCACGCCGCCGCGGCCTGTGTCCATTCGAGACAGAAGGCCGCCTGCCCAACAGCGGCCGCTGTTGGTTTGGGACAACATTTGTTGTTGGGCATCCATTCTTTCGGTACCCATTTCGGGTGTCCAAACTGGTGCTGGGGCTGCCCTTGCTGCGCCTCCCGACGGCCGTTTTGCGGACGACGTGGAGGTGGAGGAGCGGCGGTGGGCGCTGCGCGCGCGGGCGCGGCGATCATCCGAGGCGCAGGGTGATCGTCGTGGCGTTCGCGTTCTCGCTCCTGGAGGTCTTCTCGGCGCGGTACACGGCCGGGGGGTGGGTGCAGGCCCCCCGTGTGCATAGGACTGCATTGCCGCTATAGTTGCGCCCCGTCGCTTTCGTCGTGGTGCACTGTAGCGGTCCTCGTCGTCGGTAGTGGATTCGCCGCCCTCTGCCGTCGGTGCGCCTTTTACCTTAGCGGTTGAAGCCCCCTGGATAAGAAAAATCCTCCTCCCCCTCCCCCTCCTCCCCTCCCTCCTCCTCCTCCTCCTCCTCCTCCTCCTCTTCCTCCTCATCCCCCTCCTCCTCATCCTCATCCTCCTCCTCCTCCTTTTTCTCCTCCTCCTCCTCCTCCTCCTCCTCCTCCTCCTCCTCCTCCTAGCCGTTTCAGGTGTTTTTGCGCCTCGGCGGCCGCGCGGACGCACGTGCGCCCCCAATCCCCTCCTCTCCCCTCCTCCCCTTTTCGGCTCTGCGGCCATGGCCATCCGTGCGCGGCTCGCGTGGCTCCTGGAGCAGGTGGCGATCGGGCGGCCCGTGAAGGCGCGGATCAGCATGAATGCTGCTGACCTCCGCATCCACGTCGTGGTGATGCCGCTTGGTGCAAGCCCTGCTGCAACATGTGCTTGCCATCGAGGCGCAGTACGTAGTCGTGGACCATGGTCACCAGCACTCTGGAGGGCGTTCGGACGTGTCCTTCGTGCTGCGGCCACTGAGTCCTGGGCCACCTGCTGCTGCTGATGAGTTCGGAGGCGGAGGAGACGACAGCGACGACGGTGACGGCGACAAGGACCCCGAGGATGATGCGCCTCCTCGACGCGGGTTTGGCGCCAATGGCGATGACCATAGAGGGCCCGACGGTGGACATGCTGGGGCTCGGGCCTCTTCCTCATCTGCTGGGCAGTCGCGCCCAGCTTCTGGTGAGGACTCTGTCACCCCGCCGCGTAAAGCCCCTCGCACGCGGGTGCTGTTGCCATCGTTGTCGTGTTCGACTGCCTGTTCTCCGATTGGGTCGTCTGCTACGTCCTCTTCCGGCGCCTCGGAGTGCGCGGACCACATTGTGACGGAGTTTTCCGACATCTCCGATGGCTCCAAGTGCGTTGGCACGCAGACGATGGGCTCAATTGTGCCCTCTGCCAGCTCCGTAGTGATCTGTGGCGGTGCTCTTGATGTCGTGGGCATTGGATTTCAGCGCGTTGCCGAAGATGTTGGCGCCCGTTTGGATGCATTGGGCCAAGCCATTGCCGAGCTACCTACCCTTCCTCCTGGCCCGCGGCCTTCTGTCGAGCACGTTTCGCTTGCGGACTCCTTCTCTTGTGAGCTGCAGATGGGGGACCCAATTAGATGTTTCGAGCAGTTCTTAGATGAGGTGCAGGCGTTCGTCAGGGTGCTTCTGCTTGAATTCGAAGGGCTCGCTCGGGTTGCCGATGGACGCATCGAGTCTCTTCTTCGTGATCCTCATGCCCTGCCTCTGGACGAGATCATGGATTTTCAGTTCTATGAAGGTGTACGAGGTGGTTCGGCGGTTCTCGACGGCGACCCATTCGACGAATCAGTTCACTATGTGTAGTGGGCTCTTGCGCTATAGTCGATATCTTTGGGAAGCTCGGTTCCGCGTCCTCTTTGAGGTGGAGTGCAGCTTCTCTTGGTTTGTATGGCGTCTTCACTGTCGGGGAGTGCAGTGTCTCTTGGGAGGTATGGCGTCGACTCTGAGGAGTAGCGCAGTCACGCTTGAGCGGCATGGCGGCTGCTTTGAGCAACTCACACGGGCTGGGTCTTCTCTCGAATGGAGTCTCTCTGCTCATGGGGTGGTTGTCGGGCCACTCACAGGGGCTGGGACTTCGTTTCTCGAATGGAGTTTCTTTGCTTATGGGGTGGTGCTCGGGCCACTGGCATGGACTGGGTCTTCACTTGAATTGGAGCCTCTCTGCTTACGGGGTGGTGTTCGGGCCACTCACAAGGACTGGGACGTCATCTGATATGGACTCTCTGTGCGTATGGGGTGGTGTCTGGGCCACTCACATGGACTGGGTCTTCATTTGAACTGGAGTCTCTCTGCTTACAGGGTGGTGTCAGGGCCACTCACATGGACTGGGTCCTCACTTTCTCTATAATGGAGTCTCTTGCTTATGGGGTGGTGTTCGGGCCACTCACATGGACTGGGACACCACGTTTCTAATGGAGTCTCTTGCTTATGGGGTGGTGCTCGGGCCACTCACAGGTACTGGGACTTCAGCAGCGCGGGCGGGGGCGCGACCCTGCTCTCGGTGTGTGGGAGGGGGGGGGGGGGGGGAACTCCTCCTCCTCCTCCTCCTCCTCCTTCTCCTTCTCCTCCTCCTCCTCCTCCTCCTCTCAGTGGCTGAGCGCGCGGTTGTCTGATCCTCAGATTCGGCCAGCCATTGCGCGAGCATGGCCATGAGCGGTGGCCCATCTTTCCAGCTTACCAGTCCGCAAACGAGCGCGTCGCATACGAGGGCCGATGACGACGGTTATTATGTATTTCATGGAGGCAGGGTGGATGCCGACCTCGCCGACTGAATGGGAAGTGCCGCGTGATGGCTCCTCGACGTCACACACTTGGCTGTTCCACGGCAGTGATTTCGAGGCGCTGGATCAAGCAAGACCCCTGCTGGATAAGTTCCAGCGGACACGAGAGCTCCAGCAGTGGCGAGCAGCGGCTGCTCAGTTTTGTGGCGAGGGAGTCGCCGAGGGCGTCGACGTCGCATCGCTGCAGTCCATGATTCATGACCTGCAGGACATCAAGAAAGGCAGGCAGCTCGCGGAGCTGCTCGTGTCCATCGCCACAGGTGGCTACTGGACGCGCGAGAGGAGTTCCCAGGCCAACCTGTGCAGCACGACAGATTGCCTGCGGTGCGGAAGTGGTCCACAGACACCCTTGCACAGACGTTGGACATGCGAGGCTAACGCCAGCTCCGTGTCCAATCATATGCAGATTCGAATGATCTAATCACCCAGGCTATTTCTGAGTCTGAACCTTCCCCATGTTTTTGGATGAGGGGCCTCATCCCTTCCTCCTGGACGGGGGTCCCTCCTCCTCCCTCCGAAGAGGCCATTCTCGGGGGCAACTGGCTCGGAGGCTCTCTGGAGGTAGGTTGTCTAGGTGCTGGCACTTCTCAGGAGCCCCTGGTCCTGTTTGGGGACGCGCCGGGGGGGAACGACACTCACGATTCTAGGCTTCGTAGGGTAGGGCTGGCTATCGCCAAGATGGACTCGTATGACCCGCCTACTTTGGGGCCTTTCATGGTGGGGCCGCTCCCAGGAGCCTCCCAGAGCGCCCCGAGGGGCGAATTTTTAACGTTTTTTGGGGCCCTCCGATACACTGAGGGGGTGCTTGTTTACGTGACTGACTGTGCCGAGGTTTCGAGGGGGTGGTACTCAGAGCTTTTCCGCAGGCCAGAGGGGCCACAGGCCGACCTCTGGAGAGAGGTTGGCAATCTCCTTCAGCGGCAGGCTCGACACCCGACCAGCATAGTGATTGTGCAGGTTCCTTCGCACCTCAGCCCGCGAGAATACCGTGCTCGCGGGATCCCGAGTTGGCTCGTGTTTGGCAATGCTTGTGTTGACGTCCTTGCTGGAGAATCAGCCGCGCACGCGCGCGTTTCCCAGGCCAGTCGTCAACAAGTTATGACCATCGAATACAAAGCCATGTTAGTCCGGAGGCGGCTGCTAAGAGCGGGACTCGACTCAATTCGGGCCTCTCAGATGTCTGGGGATGCTGGGGCCCCAGCGAGGGCTGGTCCTCCTCCGCCGCCTCCTCCTCCCCTTATTGCTGTTGCACGCTTCGCGCCATCCCACTCCCTGACCGAAAGTGGTAGGGCGTGTAGTGTGTGTAGGGGCTCGTCGACCAAAGCTGTGTTGTCGGAGTGGTTAAAAAGTGAGTGCGTCCAACTCCTCCATGTGAATAGCCAGATTGCCCGCGTTCCAAGAGGACGGCGTTTACACTTGGCTGGGGGTTGGACCCATCCCACGCATGCTTTGATGTATCAGAAAGACCTTCAGATGTGGTGTTGTGGCACATGCGGGTTCTACGGTCAAGCCCAGCTCAGGGGGCTAGCGGAATCGTGCAAAGTGCCCATCTCGAAGGCCACGCATATCTTGACAGGATAGAACGCGGCCTGTTTCCGAAGAGCTGAGCGTTAAGCCTTGTTATCACTACGTGATGGCGGAAATCCTGGAAATCCTCATCCTCATCCTCTTTCTCCTCCTCGCTCGCTCGCTCGCTCACGGCATGTGGTCCTGTCTGTAGGTCTCCTCCTCCTCCTCCTCGTACTATTTGCTGCTATCCTATATCGTCGTCGTCCGCCGTCCGCCTTTCTCCCTCCCTCCCTCCTCGTCCTTCGGGACCCTTTCCCTTCGTGCCAAGGTGGACGCGCTCGCGCCGAGGGCATCTGCGGCGGACGGCGAGGACCAGGGGGGGGACAAGGAGAGTCGAAGGCCTAGAGGTTGACACAAACACCAATGTCGGCGGTTGCCTCCGCCAGGGGAAGATGGGGGGCGGCCGATTGGGTCGTGGTGACTGGGAGGGGGTGGGCATCATAGCGGGGGGCATGATATCTTGAGAACTGTATGGCCCCCTCTTCTTCTTTCAACGCGTCCCCTGGGCCACCCCTGTCCGCGCACGTGCCTCGTGGACGCCCCCGAGCAGATGACCCCGCTCTCGGTGAGGGTAAAAACGCTCGGGCTTCCTAGATGGCCGAATGATTACCACCAGCCCCGCAAAATCTAACATCGTCTTTCCCTCGTGGACGCACCCCCCTTTGGTGCTGCTGGTTCCCATGACCGCGCCTCCAAAGGGTACCGATGCCCATGCTCGTCCTAGCCTCCTCCTCCGCCTTTTCCTCCTCCGTCTCATCTTCCTCCACGTTCCCTATTGAGAATTCCTTATGGTGGCACGGTGACTGCACTGGTATAGTTGGCGCGAGGGTTAAGAGCAGCCCGAGCCTTCGAGGGGTGCACTCATGCACTTCGTGCTTGGAATCTCCACCTCGGAGTGCTCCTCGTCAGGGGTGCCTTGTCTGCGGCCAGAGGCCTCCGGAGAAAGGGCCTGGGCTGTCGGTTTGCGCTCTGGCCGCGGCTACGATGCCGCAGCGTCGCCCAACCGTAACGTTGCACAGCTGGACAAAACTACTCTACACCTTAGGCGATGCTTAAGAAAACCTAAGTTTTCGTCCAGAATCTCGATTATTCTTAACTTTTCAATGTAAATCCCCAGATGTTGATAGAAGTTCTGGGTTTTATTCAATTTCTGAGACTATGAATTTCTTAACCCATGATTTCTTAAGCATTTCGCAGGGTGTACGCTTGCGCGCGCTCGAGCTCATTCGCATGATCTCGGAATGCGCCGAACTCTTCTTTTGTGGCGGCTGCTATTCCCTGCCATGGTCCTTTGACCGTCGGCTGCAGCTTGACACGTCTGCGTCTCCCGGCGAGCTCGACACAGCAGCAGTGCCGCGCCAACAGAACCACGCGCTCGTTGAGGCCTTGCCCCGACCGTGCTGGAGGAAGGTCGTGCCGTGCCATCGCGGCGGCGACCACCGCTGCGGGCGCTCGAGGCAGAACGCCGCCAGTGGCCCAGAATCGGTCGATGTGGAACCTCCTCGTCCTCCTCCTTCCTCCTCCTTCTCCTCCTCCTCCCTCCTCCTCCTCCTCCTCCTTTTTCCTCCTCGTCCTCCTCGTCCTCCTCGTCCTCCTCCTCCTCCTTCCTCCTCCTCGTCCTCCTCCTTCCTCCTCCTCCTCCTCCTTCCTCCTCCTCCTCCTCCTCGATCTGGCGATCCGCCGACCGTTCAAGCTTGAACGATCCCCGCGGTGTCAGGAGCCATCGCTGGTGTCGGCACGACGCGAACCTGCCGTGCAGTCAAGACGCTGAAATTAAGGACCGCTTTGGGTTTGGCACGGGCTTTGGTTTTCGGACCGTTCCTTAGATGTCTGTCGCGGAACCTGTTGTGTCCTGGGCACGCCGTGGGCAGAGACGCCCCTTCGTTCCCTGTTTTGCGCTCCCTATGGTAGCACGATTGCCGTACAGTCGAAAGCGATGGTAAGAATGGGTAACCTTCCCGAGGGTACCCTTGCATCCGTGCATCCGTGCCTCCTTGGTCCATCCTAGACTACTTTCGATGGCCCGTCGCTTTCGAAAAAGCTTCAGCACGGGAGTCCAAGGGGCCTGCATCCTTGTCGCGCATCGTACGCCTCCCCGTTTGGGGGAGGAGGAGAGGGAGGAGGAGGAGGAGGAGGAGGAGGAGGAGGAGGAGGACGACGAGGAGGAGGACGAGGAGGAGGACGAGGAGGAGGACGAGGAGGAGGAGGAGGATCGGATCGGATCGGATCAAGAGTCCGCGCAAGGGCCTCACCAGGGAGCCACAGCTGAGGGCGTACAGCAGCATTCGGACAGCTGCAGGCCCACAGGAAGGAGAAGGAGGAGGAGGAGGAGGAGGAGGAGGAGGAGGAGGAGGAGAAGAAGGTTGAGGAGGAGAAGGAGGAGGAGCAGGAGGAGGAGCAGGAGGCGGAGGAGGACCTGGGCCCTGAGGCCTGCCCCTCCAGAGGACGCGGCGGGCAGCTCCCGGGCCGCCCCGAGCCGCGAGTCCTCGCGGGCCTCGCTGGCGGCCCCGCCCGCCGCCGCCGGCGCGGCGGACGGGTGCTCCACCTGGCCGTTGGCGCCCGGGCGGCCGTCCCTTGGCCGCCCGGCCTCGCAGCCGCAGCTCGGCCGCGCGCGGGCGTCGCAGGCCCTCGGCCGCCGCCGCCGTTCGCTCTGGCCCTCGGGAGGGCAGGCGCTGATGGAGGGGTCCTCCTCCTCCTCCTCCTCCTCCCTCCTCCTCCTCCTCCTCCTCCTCCTCCTCCTCCTCCTCCTCCTCCTCCTCCGCCTCCTCCTCCTCCCCTCCTCCTCCTCCCCCTCCTCCCCCTCCTCCTCCTCCTCCCCTCCCCTCCTCCTCCTCCTCCTCCTCCTCCTCCTCCTCGTCCTCCTCCTCCTCCTCCGCCTCCTCCTCCTCCTCTTCCTCCTCCGGGGTGGGGGGTGGGGGGTTGGGGGGAGGAGCAAGGATTGCAAGGAATCGCAAACATGGATCAAGGCGCGTGGATTTGCAACCAGCGCTGCCCTTCGCGGGGGGGGAGGGGGACGCTCCGAACAAAATTGGAGCATTTTGGGCCGCTTTCGGCCGTTTTTCGCAGTTTGTTTTGAAGTGTGTTTGGCCGTTTTGGGCCTCTGGGGGCCCTCTCCGGGCTTCGGGGCCGTAAACAGCTCAGGGCGCAAAACCGGCCCTAGTGAAGTGGTCCATTGCCGGCTATACGTACACGCTGGTCGTTGAAAGTATTAGTCGGAGTGAGGGGGCCGAACGGTCATTCATTGTCCATGGGCGCGTGGCTGAATAGGGAATGTGGCCGAATAGGGAATTCGTGGTGAGAATTCTGCGATCCCGATCTACTTCAAGCGCCTTCCTACTTCAATTGTATACGTAAGAGCGACCTTTCGCTGGAGTGACCCCTGGTGCTCCTCGTTCTCCTCCTCCTCATCGTTCGTCTCCTCCCTCTCCTCCTCTGCCTCGTCTTTCTCCTCCTCCTCCGCCTCCTCCTCCTCCTCCTCCTCTTCCTCCATCTGCTTCTTCTCCTCTTCCTCCTCCTCCTCTGCGGGCACACGGGCCCCCCCCTGTGGCCCGGATGCGACGCGGCGGCGGCGGCCTGCGCGCTTCGGAGTCGGCCTCCCCGCGGCCCCCGCGAAAGTCGCGCACGACAGATCCCGCCTGTCCAGGGTCGTTCTTACGTTCGGGGGCGGAAAAGAGTCAGAGCGTGAATTACCTACCCCGCTTTCGCTTCCAGGAAAAACCAAGCCATACCACGCGCCTCCTCGTCAAGCGGCCTGACCAGTCCAGGCTGCAGTTTGGCATCGTTTGGTATCTCTTGGAAGCGAGGGTGGTCAAAAGCGAGGTAGGCTTGTTTCCCCCCTAAAGAGGGGGGTGATGACTAGGGGGGGGGATATCATGGCGGGGGCCATGATATCTCCCCAGATTTCATGGCGCCTCTTCTTATTTCATCACGTCCCTGGCCCCCCCGCTGGGCCGCGCACATCCCGCCGGTCACGATTTGCACCCCCCCCCTGGACACCCCCCTCTTGGCCGCTCCCGATACATGCAGCCGCGTAAGAATAAGGAGAGAAAGAAACACACAGACACAATGAATCGTCGATTCCCAAAGAAATGTGGAAAAATATAGGAAGTGGGGGGGAAGACAAAAAACATACAAATATGGGAAAATATGGGGAATCCTGTTATGAACACGTTTACGGTCAATGTGTGGGCGGAGGGGTAATGAGCGAACGTTGGCCGCATCAGAATGCATGGCAGCCTTTGTGGATCAGGGCCTTGAGGGCCTGGGATGCTCCCTGCTTGCGCCACCGCGCGCTTTGCTGCCCCGCGTGCCCAGCAGCCTCGGATCTGCGGCTGGTGCACCGGGCGGCTCGCCGAGGGCGAGAGTCTGGCCCTCGCGGAGGGCGGCGCGCTCCTGGAGGTGTGCGAGTTGTGCTACCTCCTCGCGCTGGCGCGGCAGGGGGCGCGCGAGGCGCGGCTGGCACCGCAGGAGCGGGCGCTGCTCGCTGAGCAGGCGCGGCTGTTGGCGGCGCAGATCACGGCTCTGTCGACCTTGTCGCCCGATGCCGCCTAAGGCCAAGGCCAAGGCGAAGGCGAAGGCTCTTCCTGTGCTTCCCGCTGCCGCCCGCGGCCGAGGCGCTGGACATGGCGGAGGACGGCGCGGTCGCGGGCGCGCAGGCGCGGCAGCTGGAGCGGCAGGTGCGCCCGCCGGCCTCGGAAGCGGCCTCGCGCCCGCGGCTGGAGGTGCGGCTGGCGGAGGCGCTGGAGGCGGCGCGGCTGGTGCGCCAGTGGTGCCCGGGCTCGGCGGCTTCCCTGGCTTGCCTGGAGCCCTTGGCGCGGGCGCCGCAGGCGCGCCCCCCCCTGCCCTCGGGGCGCCTGGCGACGGCGCTGGCGGCGGCGGCGGGGGCGGCGTCGGAGTGGCGCTGCTTGGCGCGCTGGCCGCTGCTAGCGCTGGCGGAGCTGGAGGCGCGGGCGCGCCGCCTGGCGCGGGGCCCGCAGGACCGGGCGCTGCCCTCGGCGTGTTGGGAGGCGCGGTCGCCCCAGCTGCAGGAGTGCAGCTTGGCGGGCTCGTCGACGGGGCCTGGACGCAGGCAGCCGCCCTCGTCGGGGCCAACTGGCGCCAGGGCCTGGCCGTCGAGCTGCCGACCCACGACGTGGCGGGGGCGATCAGTGGGACCGCACTGTTCGAGATCGACGAGGTCGGCGCGCCCGGTGCTGGAGGCCAGTACCTGAGCGCGCAGTTCAGAGGCGCGCCCCTGCCTGCTGAGGCGATGCGCTTTGACGGCGCCTTCCATCCGCGCGGCGGCGGTCCTGCTGGGCTGCTGCACCTCTGCGCGCAGGGGCCCGCGCGGTGTGGCGAGCCTGCGCAGGCAGGGCGGGCCGTCCTGCACGTGGAGTGGCTTCGGCTGCGCTCGACGCGCGGCCTGGTGGAGCCTTGGGTGCGGCCGAGCGCCTTCGGCGGCCGTGGTGGTGGAGCTGGTCGAGGCGGCCCCGCTCCCATCCCTGGCGGGCCCGCCGCCGACCGCCCGGCAGCCGCAGCAGCTGCCCGCGCGCTTGCGGTCGGAGGCGGCGGCGGCCGCGGCGTGGCTGGCCGCGGCAGGCGACGGGCTCGCAGCGAGTCCGGCAGCCGCAGCGACGGCGAAGGCGAGCCGCGTTTTCGAGATGCCCCCTCCCGCGGCGGCAGCGCACGGCTGCTGGCGGAGAGACAGCCTGGCGCGCTCTACGACGAGGCGATGCAGAACATCGCCTGCGTCATGGGCCTGCGGGAGGGGGCGGACGGTTCCGAGACGACGCCGAAGGTGGTCGGCTACTTGCAGGCCATCGTGTTCGGCCACCACCCCGTGTCCCAGCTGCGGATCAACACGGTGCGCGAGCCCCAGACCTTGGCGACAGCGCTGGACCAGTTGGAGAGCGGCGCTCTGCCGCAGTTGAGCGACGTGTTGACGCAGAGGTTCAAGGCGCTAGAGCTCTCTCTGTCGGACGCGGGCTGGCAGGTTGCGAGCGAGTTCGAGATTGTCCCAGACGTGAGGCCGTCGCAGGCGTCGATGGACGGGCAGGATCTGGCGCGGCGCTCGGCGCTGCTGCGGAGGCGCTTGGAGGATGCCAAGAGCCGCGGAGCCTTCGGGGCGTTCGGCCGCGGCCAGGGGCGCGGGTGACCCGAGGGGGGGGCGCGGGAGGGCCAACGGCCGCGCTCCCCCTCTCGACCCGCGCCTCAGCCAGCGCGGGAACTCTCGCGCGGGAAGGGCAAGGGTCGAGGCCGCGGACGGTTCCGCTACTTCCCGCTCCGAGGGGGCAGCCCCGCTCGCGCTCCAGGGTCGCCAGCCGCAGCGCCTCGGGCCGAGGAGGGGCCCGCCGCAGCGCCCCGAGGCCCCCGCGCGCGGGCGCCGCCCCCTCAGGCGGAGCGGACCCCCCGAGGGGACAGCCCTCACCCGCGCCGAGTTGTGCTGGCGGGGAGCCCCGAGCGCCACACCTTCAGGCAGGACGAGCCAGCAGCGGCGGCGGCGGCGCCCCAGGGAGCAGGGCGCGGTCGCCCGAGACGCCGCGGCGGCAGGGGACGCAACGCAGGGAGAGCCAACGGCTCGCGGCCCCGCCCGCCTGGCGGCCGCAGGGCTGGCCCCCCGGCGGCGGCGCGGTGAGAGCGCATGGTGACGATGCCCCTGCTGCTGACGCCCGGGCTGCAGCGGCCGCTCCTCTGCAGGCTGCTGCGCCGCGCGGACCGCCTGGGGCCTCGCCGTCTCGTTCGCTACCTGACCACTGCGCTGCTGCCCCTCTGGGATCGCCATCTCCCACCGCTGATGATGATTTTCCTCGACACGATCCTCTGGAGGACTGGAGAGAACTTGCTGGCGCTGCTGGTGATTTGCTCCATGAGCCCTATGGGGTGGGCCCGATCTTGCTCAACCTCGTCAGGGACTTCCCCGGTTCGTTCGGTCGCTACGTCCGCGACCCCCTCAAACCTCAGCTGCGCGAGCATATGGCCACCATGGGAGGTCGGCTGCAACGTGACTTGCTGCCGTTACCGTACCCTACCATCGTGAAGACCGACGTCGTGCGCGACGGCGACGACCTTAGCGACCTGAACTGGGAGGCATTCCACTGCAGGCTGGTTGTCACGGTGCTGGCGCTCAACTGGGACGCAGGCTTTCGCTCGCTGGAGTTCGCGCGCCATTGCCGCAGGCGCCCGAACGCTGCTCAGCGGGCAGCCTTGGCGGCCCTGGGCGCCGCCTGTACCTGGCGACGCGCATCGAGACCAGCCTGCCTGCGGAGCTCAACTGGGAGGACCGCCTGAAGGACCGCAAGATCGGCTACGGTGGCGCCGAGATCACCGCGCCTCACAAGCTGACCCTGGAGCAGGTGCTGGACGGCTTACCGCCGCCTGGTGTTGCGGCCTCGATTGAGGCGGCCGACGTCGCGACGGGCTTCGTGCGGGACGCATTGCTGGACCCTGGGCTGGTGCTGCTGCCGCCTGCGCTGCGCCGCGCGGCGCCGACTTCGGCGCGGGTTTGGGCCCCGGAAGACGAGTGGCATCGCAATGCTGGGGCCCTTCATGAGCGCGGGATGGTCGGCCCGATCTCCGCGTCTGACATCGCGTGCCGGGATGGGTCGCCGCTGCTGATCGGAGCCTTCGGCGTTCCGAAGGCCCACGACGCCCCTGTCTAGTGCCAGGACGGGATGGTGATGCCCGTGCTCAGGCTCATCACCAATCTGATCCCGTCGAACGCCTGCCAGGAGTGCATCGTTGGCGACACGCCCGAGATGCCGACGATGAGCCAGCTGAACGGCCTGGTCTTGACGGAGTCCGAGGACTTGCTGTGGAGCGGTGCCGACAGGAAGGCCTTCTTCTACGTCTTCCGTGCACCGCCGCCGCGGTGGCCGCACATGGTGATCGGGCCGCCCGTGCCGTCGCGCCTACTGGGCCTCAAGGACGGCGGCGCTACCCACATCTGCCTGCGGGTAATCGGCATGGGCTGGATCAGCGCGGCGGGGGTCACGACTCACCTGCATCGCAACATGCCGCGCCGCAGCGGCGCGGTGCCTCGCGGCCTGAGCCCCAGCTGCGAGATTACCCGGCGCCGCCGCCTGCCGCTTGGCGCGGAGAAGCCCTGCCCGCCTGCTTGGATGGCGTACATCGATAACTTAGAGATCGCCGAGATCGTCGACAAATCTGAGGCCGACAAGTTACGCGGGACGGTCCCCGAGCTGCTGACTGACGCTCGAGTCTGCTACGAGGCAGCAGGGTCCCCTGGCCCCCCGGGCAAGGACCTGCACCGCGTGGTGCGCGCCACCACTCTGGGCGAGCTTGTTGAGGGTGTCCGTCGGCCGCCTGCAGGATACATCAATGAGATGGCCAGCCTCACGCTCTGGGTTCTGGGCAAGAGGCGAGCCAGCATGCAATTGATACGTATTCTTCTTGGGCGCTGGGCTCGCGTGCACTGCTCCCGCCGCCCGCTGGCCGCGAGCTTCGCTTACACCTGGAAGTGGCTCAACGACCCGCGCTGTGGAGGCCGCTTCAGCGTGAGCGTGATCGAGGACTTGCTGATGCGCCTAGCCCTGTCGGGGCTCTGCGTGGCCGACATGACGCTTGATGTCGATCACCTGGTGACGGCGTCGGACGCGTCGGAGGCCGCTGGGGCCGCGGTGCACAGCACGGCGCTTACCGAGCGCGGCCGCGTCGTTGCGGGCAGGCGCCAGCGGCCCGCCAACGCCGCCTGCGAGGAGGAGACCGCCCTGATCACCGTCTTTGATGGTATCGGTGGCGGACGCCGAGCCTTCGAGATACTGGGCCTGGTACCAGCGGCGCACCTGTCGTTCGAGGTGGACCCGCAGGCGGTTCGCGTCGCGCGGCGCGCTTACCCTGGCACGCAGCACCTCGGAGATGTTACATTTGCTGACCCTGCTGCCCTGGCTGGTCTGCTGCGGGCCCGTGGCCGCATCACCCGCGTGGTGGTCATCGGCGGCTTCCCATGCCAGATCTACACGAGCTTGAACGTCGACCGCAAGGGCTCGTCGGACTCGCGCGCCTCGCTTGTCGATCACATGGTGAGGGTCATCCGAGGCCTGCGGGCGGCCATGCCCGAGGTGAGCGTTGACTTCCTTGGGGAAAATGTGGCATCAATGGCAGAGTCCGACGCCCTTCACCTCCTCAGCGGGTTGTTCGAGCGGATCCCTTTGGAGGTTGAGGCTGGGGACATTGGCTGGGTGAGGCGTCCTCGTCTCTACTGGCCGTCCTGGGACCTGCTGCCGTCGTACGAAGCTAAGACGGTGATGGTACTGACCAAGGACGGCGCCTCTCGCCGCCTGCGCCGCGTGTCGCTGGAGGTGGAGCGCCCGCCGCTCGAGGAGTGGCTGCCGGCTGGCGCGCGCGGCCCTGGAGCGGAGGGTGGCGAGCCCCTCCCTACGTTCGTTCGCTGGACGCCGCGCACGCAGCCGCGCCCCAGGCCCGCGGGCATCGGGGAGTGCACGGCTGCTGAGCTGACGCGCTGGGAGGAGGCGGCCTTTGCGGCGCCGCCATGCCAGTTCCGTGACAGGTGGTGCATTCACTGGCCTGACGGACGGATCGCGCCTCCTGACGCGGCGATGAGGGAGAAGCTGATGGGCTTCGCCGAAGGCCACACCGTGCCCTGCATGACCAGCAGTGCGGCGAATGCCGAGCCCAGCAAGTACGAGGGGCTGAGGCGTTCGCTGATCGGCAACTCGTTCCAGTGCGAGGTGGTGGCGTGGCTGCTGGCGCACTGGGCTGTTGCGGCTGGGCTGCTGGTGGCGGCGCCGCCCTTCTCCGAGCTGCGCGAGAGCGCTCGGGCCTGGGCTGGCGGGCGGAAGCTGCGGGCTGGCGACGCCACCTCGCTGCGACGCAGCCGCGTGGAGGTCGACGCGGAGGTCCGCGACGAGCTGGTGGCCTGCAGCGCAGCCGCACCGGCCGAGCGGCAGCAGGCGGGCGAGGAACCCGCCGCAGCGGCGCCGGCGGCGGCCAACAGGCTCGTCTACGTCGGCCGCGGCTCATGGCGCTGGGGCCTCACCCCGTCGTGTTTCGGCAACCCGTTCGCAGTGGGCCCGAGCTGCTCCTGCGAGGACCCGGTGGCGCTGTTTGCTGGATGGCTGCGCAAGCAGCCCGAGCTGCTTCGCCGCCTGGAGGACCTGCGCGGTGCCAAGCTGGTCTGCCACTGTCAGTCCGCAGCATGTCATGCAGATGTGCTGCTTGCAGAGCTGGCCAAACGCGATGCTACGTCCTGGCGTGATGCGGATGTCTCGCGTAGGCTGGTGATGGGCCTTGTGATGGCGTGCCACAGCAATGGTGCGGACCTCCGTGGCGACGGGAGCTCTGCGGAGCTCAGCAAAGTTTTCCCTCGGCAAGAGATTGATGCAGGTCTTTGGCAATGGCGTGAGGCAGGACAGCTGGCGTGGGATGTTCCTGAACATATCAATGTACTGGAGTGCCAGGGCGCGCTGATGATGATTCGATGGCGTGCTCGATCGTTGGGCCGACAGCAGCGAGTCTTCTTGCACCTCCTCGACAGCATGGTCAACATCGGTGCGCTCTCAAAGCGCCGCTCAAGCAGCAGTCAGCTCAACAAGGTTGTGCGCAGCTTCTCGGCCTGGGAGCTGGCGATGGGCGCGCGGGCAGCATTCGGGTTCACCTCATCTGCTCGGAACCCCGCGGACGCGCCGTCGCGCCTGAAGGAAGGGGAAGCGGTCTAGCCCCGCCGACAGGCGCACGGCCAGAGCTGGCCTGGGGAAGCTGCAAGATGCCCAGATCGGCGCTGCCGCTCTTGCTAGATTCCGTCGAGCAGCCAGCAGTTCGTCGGCCATCTTAACGCCATGAATCTGCCGTTGCCGTTCAACGGGGAGACACGGATGTCGCATTACAAGTTTACCTTGCTGTGGGCCAAGGGTGCCACCAGGAGCCACGCTAACGTTACACTGGGTTTGGTGCAGCACCTGTTGAGGACGCGCCAGCAGTACTCTGGCGCGCGCGATTTCAGCTCTAGCCTTGCGGCAGAACACAATGTCGTTGACATAGACAAGGACAGCCTGTCAAAAAGGGGGCACGAGAGACGATGACACTAGGTGACCCACTTGAGGGAGCGGTCATCCGTATGCAGCTGCATCGTGACGGGCGTTCATGGCCCTCGTCTCCTCGCGCCTTTCATTTGCTTGTTCGCACTGGCCTGCGAGATTCGGGCGCGCGCATCTCGGCCTAGTCTGTGCATGCGCAGAGGCGGTGCTACGCATGAATACTTGCTGACAGGCGACTTGCCTAAAGTGTGCTCCGAGGTCATTGGAGCTCATAAAGACAGCAAGATTTACATTCAGGTGGGGCCGCGATTTTTGGCCGACTTGCGTTTTCTGCCGCCACCCGTTCCTCGCTCCAGTCTTTCTCAGGACCTTGATTGCCCGCGCTCGGGCATACTGTTGCAAGGGGCCTCAAATCCAGGCCAGGTGCGACTCTGAAGAATGTTATGGGCGGCCTTCGGCCACATGTCGGAACACATTGGAGAGCTTTTGGGTGTTCTTGGAGTGGAGAGCTTCTTCTTCTCGGGCTTCTGGGCACAGCGTGGTGCGAGTCTGCTCCCCCTCGAGGCCCTCTTGGGACGGCGTTCTGACCCCGGTCGTTGCACGACGGTGGTGCGCTCGAGGTGCGAATTCTGCCGTGGCCTCGGGGCGAGCCCTGTGGCTCGCACATGCTGGTGCCGTTGTCTCGAGGCACTCGAAGCTCTGTCAACAGCTTTGGCCAACGAATAGAGGGAGTAAGAAGGGGCAACGCCCAGTGTGAGTGATCATTGCATGTTGTGGCTCCCCTTTATTCCCTATGAGCTACCGCTCTGACCCCCGCCTGCACACACATGAACACGTTTACGGTCAATGTGTGGGCGGAGGGGTAATGAGCGAACGTTGGCCGCATCAGAATGCATGGCAGCCTTTGTGGCCCGCCCGCAGTCCGCCCTGTGCCATGCCGTCCAGGCTCCTTCTCTGCCTGGCCGCTCTTGCCCGTTCAACGTCTCGCGAGAGCTTCGCTTCTTCTTCTCGGGCTTCTGGGCAGAGCGTGGTGCGAGTCTGCTCCCCCTCGAGGCCCGCTTGGGGCGGCGTTCTGACCCCGGTCGTTGCACGACGGTGGTGCACTCGAGGTGCGAATTCTGCCGTTGCCTCGGGGCGGGCCCTGTGGCTCGCACATGCTGGTGCCGTTGTCTCGAGGCACTCGAAGCTCTGTCAACAGCTTTGGCCAACGAGTAGAGGGAGTAAGAAGGGGCAACGCCCAGTGTGAGTGATCATTGCATGTTGCGGCTCCCCTCTATTCCCTATGAGCTACCGCTCTGACCCCCGCCTGCACACATTTGTGTGTATTTATTTGTGTGTCCCAGGGCCTCTTCAAAGAAAGACCCCTCCCGTTTCTCCCTCCTCCCCTTGGAGCCCGGCGACGTTTACCCGGCCGGCCGATACTGCGCATGCCTGCTTTGGCGTTGCAGCGTGCCTGTATCAAGGGGTCGCCTGCAGCCCCCGCGAGGGGAGGGGGATCTGCGCTCCGTGGTTTGTGGCTTCGTTTGCCAAAAAAAGCTTGCGTGTAGCCAGCAACGTCTCTAGTACAGTCAACCCGCATAGTAAGGATGGGCAGCCTTCCCAAGGGTACCCTTGCATCCTTGCCTCCTCGGTCCACCCTTCGCCGCTCTCGCGGGCCGCGCCCCGCTCGAGAAGCTTCGAACTGGGCGTCCAAGGCCCTTGCATCCGTATGAAGGGGGCCACATGCGAGCCCTACCCCTACCCCCCCACGATTTCGGAGGGGGTGGGTGGGGTTCACTTCGCCCGGGAGCTCCCGAGCGAAGGGAACCCCACCCTCCCCCTCCGAAATCGGGGGAGGTGCAGGCGGGGCCCTGAAGAAGGAGCCCTTTTCGTTGGGGAGGGGCTCCGTGTTCCTTGGTTGCTTTACGCTGTGCCTGAGGTTTTCCGTATTTTTTCCAAGGGATACCGAAGTTTAATGTATGGGAACAGGGGCCTCGTTCCTTATTTAGGGTTCCTTAGATGGGGCTCGCTTCGCCCGGGAGCTCCCGAGCGAAGGAAACCCCACCCTCCCCCTCCGAAATCGCGGGGGGTAGGGGTAGGGCTCGCATGTGGCCCCCAAGGGGGGGCAGACCCTGGGGCAGGCTCAGAGGCACGGGTGCCGCTGCCTTCTGTCAAGCGGTGGCGAAGCATCCTGGCTCGCCTATAGCCCTGCCAAGCAATGTCCTAAGAACCTGTCGTGGTTCCCACGAAATGTTCTGAGAACCTCTCGTGGCTTCCACCTGGCGGAGATTGTTTTGTTTTCTCACATCGGGCTTATGTTCTAAGAATATGGTTTTTGCTGTTAGAACAGTTTGGGGTTCTAAGTACACTTCGTGGTAGGACTATAGGAATGCCGGGACGGTCGGTCCCTGCTTAACTCTGGGCCTCCCAGATGGGGTCCGAGCAGCTGGGGTCGGAGGATCGCGCCGCATCGCCGCATCGGCGACGCATCGCCGATGCCGAGGCCGTGGTTCACCACGCCGACGGCACCGATGCATCGCCGAGGTCGCCGATGCATCGACGATGCATCGGCGATGTATTGGCGATGCGGCGCGATCCTTCGACCCCATCTACTCGGTTTCGCATTTCTGGTCTTCCGAGGCCCTCGTCTCTGCGACCGGTGGCGAAGGCTGCCCCTGCGGATCCATTTGGCTCCTGGGGTATCGGACACCCCCGCCGGGGCTCACCTGGCTGCAGGCCTCCGCAGACCTCTCTGCGCCCCAGCCGCTTCTGCAGAAATCTGGTACGAAGGGGCAGGGTCCACGTGCTGCTGCCTCTCGTCGCCACGGCTGAGGTCGCCTCGAGATTTATGGTCGGAGCGCACCCCGGCAGACGTCACGGGAGCAGCGGCATCGGTACCTTCTTGTTTTCCCCAAGGGGGGAGCAACACGTGAGGCACTCAAGGAAAAGCCTCGCTATCAAGGGCCGAAGGAATTTTGTCGTCTCTTCCTTGGCAGAAGGGCGGCGGAAGCCAAACGAGGGCTGCCTCCGCCGGCGGAAGCCCTGCCTCCCCAGGGGCAGGCCCGGGCATACAGCGGGGATCCATGCCAAGAAGCACCCTGCTTGCCTCCAGGGTGCCCTGGGCTTCCTAGGCTTCGATGGCTGTGCGATGGACAGCGCGACGTGTTCCCACACCAAACATCTCTATGGACGTCCTGGGGTCTCCGGAGTCTCTGGGTTGGGTTTCTTGCGCAAGGTTCCTTGTGGTCGGGCCCCGACTTCGGGGGCAACGATAGGGGGGGACAGGCATAGGGTGGGATGCATCGACCCCATAGCGCCCATTGATCGCCGATAGGGGCCCGACAGCCCCAACCTGCCCAGGAAGGTGCGGATTCGCTATCGGAGGCCTATCGCCGATCTATCGGCGATGTATCGCCGATTCCAGGTCGATGTGTCCACCCCTAGGCCAGTCCCCCTCTATCGTTGCCCCGCATGGGAGGAGGAGGGGGGAGGAGGCGCAGGGCGAGCAGGAGGAGGAGGAGGAGGAGGAGGAGGTGAGGAGGAGGAGGAGGAGAGGGGAGGAGGAGGAGATGAGGATGGGGAGGGGGAGGGGGGAGGGAGGAGGAGGGGAGGAGGAGGATGAAGATAGGAGAGGAGGAGGAGGAGGAGGAGGAGGAGGAGGAGGAGGAGGAGGAGGAGGAGGAGGAAGGAGGAAGAGAGGAGGGGAGGAGGAGGAGGAGGAGGAGAGGAGGAGGAGAGACATCCCCCCTGTGCCAGTCCCCCCCGATCGTTGCCCCTCACTACCGTAGCAAGCGGCGGCTGGCCAGGCGCGCGCCTCGAGGCCACCCCTTCCCGACGCGCCGCCTCCCCGCGCGCGGCCCGGAGGTCTCTCGGCCCTCCGGCGTGGAGTCGCGCAGCGACGACCCCAGCGGCAGGTCGGGCGGGTCCTCCTCCTCCTCCTCCTCTCCTCCTCCTCCTCCCCTCCTCCTCCTCCCCTCCTCCCCTCCTCCTCCCCTCCTCCCCTCCTCTCCTCCTAGTAACCATTTCGCTCGAACCTGGTGTCGCCGGGCCGCGCCGCCCGCCTCGGTTCGGGTGATGCCGGCTGCTGATCCCCGCGCTGCAATCGCGGCCGCCCGAGGTGCCACGTCGGCGGCCCATTCGGCGGCGGGGCTGGCCCCCGGAGCGCCTGCGGCTTGCCGCATGTTGCGCGCCGCCGAGGGCCTGTGCAGGGCGGCGGCGGCGGAGCTGGAGGCTTCGCGACGCCGTGCTGCTGCTCCTCATCGTCCCCCTGACGCCGAGCATGATCGAGCCCCTGATGATCCCGCGGGTGGCCTGCCGCCTGGCGCCGCGGCGCCGCGGCGGAGGCGACGGCGCGGTCGACGTCGGCGAGGAGCCACTGCTGCAGAGACGAAGGAAATGGACGTGGAGGGCGAGGAGGTCGCCGAGGCCATGATGGAGGACGACAGCTGGGCGGACGAGCTGTGCCTGCGCAGCCGAGCCGCCCGCCGTCCAGCGCGGGGCGGCGCACGAGCCGCGCGGGCGCGCCCGCGTCGGTGGGCAAGGACAAGGGCATGAGCGCCACCCAGCCCCTCGGCGACGGTGGAGGAGCGGCCGCGCCCCGCGGCGGGGCCGCGGTGGCGGCGGCGGCCCACGCCTCCTCGGCAGGCCAGGAGGCCCTGGCGGTGGCCGACGGCGGCGGTGCTGGCTCGGCGCAGCTCGGCACGGCGCAGCCCTGCCGCGAGGAGCGGGTCGACGAGCACATCAGGCGTGCTCGCAAGATGGTGCTGCAGAATCTCCGTCAGCCAGCGCTGGAGAACGGCTAGTAGAAGCGCCGTGAGCTGAGGCCGCTGGCCCACCCTGCCTCGGGCGCGTCGCCTGCGCGGGGTGCCGAGACCAGGGGCATTCACTCACGGGCGAGAGCACGCGAGTTTAAAACTCCTCCTCCTCCTCCTCCCCCTCCTCCTCCTCCTCCTCCCTCCTCTCCTCCTCCGCCCCTCTTCCTCCTCCTTCCTCCTCCTCCTCCTCCTCCTCTCCTCCTCCTCCACCTCCTCCTTCTCCCCTCCTCCTTCTCCCCCTCCTCCTCCTCCTCCTCCTCCTCCTCCTCCTCCTCCTCCTTCTCCTCCTCGTCTTCCTCCTCCTCCTCCTCCTCCTCCTCCTCCTCCTCCTCTTCCTCCTCCTCGTCCTCATCCCCCTCCTCGGGTCGCCTACGGCCTCGGGGGGCTGGGGTCGGTGAAACGTAAGGCTTATGATGTTCCAACCCACTTTAGCCTTGATCACCAGATGTAGTTCCGAGCACCAAGAAAGTTCCGAAAACTTGGGGGGGGGGTCACGTATCGGTCCCTGGGAGGCGATACTCGTTCGACACCGTTTCGATATTTCTCTGGGTGCTTGAAATTTTGTCTGGGATGTGGTCCTGAAGTGCGCTGGGAACAGCATGACGCAAGGCTCGAGTTCGCAGGGACTCTGGTTCGCCGCCGCTTTTCGACGAGCCCAGCCCGTCCTGGATTTGGGCGATCCAGTTTTCGTGGGATGTGCGCAGCGGGAGCTCGCGTCAAATGTCAGACCGGGTCTCGTCATTTTCCTGACGGCTTCGCCAGGCCAACCCAAGTTCTCCGAACCCAAGCCTTCGGTTTCCCCGATGGAACAAGGACAAGGATGAATCAGAGTGAGGGGGCCGAACGGTCATTCACTGTCCCTGGGTGCGTGGCTTCAGTGCAGTTCCGCGGCGCGTCGATGGCGCGCTGGCGACGCCGGCGAAGACTTTCAAGGTTGAACTCCGCACGATGGAACGACGAGGAAGCACCGAGGGGCACGTTGACGCCACAGGGCCCAACGGAATTCAACCTTGAACGATCGGTGCCGCGATCGGTTCAAGGTTGAACGATCGAGGCGGTGTCAAGAACCTTTGCGCGCGCTTCCTTAAGTCAGCGCCCCGACTGTATCCTGGTCGACTGTATCCTCAGGAGGGGAAAAAACACACAGACCCAATTAATCGTCGATTCCCCAGAAAATATGCGACAATATGGGAAGTGGGGGGGAAGACAAAAAAACAGAACATATGGGAAAAATAGGGGGAATCTTTTTATGTGTGTGTATTTATTTGTGTGTCCCAGGGACCCTTCAGTATCCTGGCTGACTGCAGCCTCTCATCAGGGGCAGCATCTCGACGCTGCGGGAGGTGTCCATGGAGCTGGCGGACGGCCCCGCGGCGAGGGGCGCCGCCGCGGACCGACCGCGGAGCCGCGGGGCGCCCCTTCGGGGCTGAAGCTCTGAGAGGGCCGGGGCGCCTCGGGGCCTTCGCCGCGGCACGCGTCGGGGTGCACTCAGGCAGTGGCGAAGCGTCCTGGCGTGCCTATAGGCCTACCAAGGAGTGTTTTGCGAGCCGTTGGTGGCTTCCACGACATGTGCTTAGAGCATGTCTGGCTGGGACTGACGTGTTTAAACATATCGGGCTTGCGTTCTAAGAACATGGTGCTTGTGTTCGGAGCACTGTTGGGTTCTGAGAACATGTCGTGGTGGGCCTATAGACATACCGGGACGGTCGGTCCCTGCTCAACGCACCCGAGCCACGCAGCAAAAAACGGTGCCGATGGCGTCGACATTCGCGCGGTAGCCCAGACCCCCTCGCGATGTGAAGGAATCACGACGGGAGCTTTCTCGCTGGGTTTCCGGCCTCCAGGGGCCCTTGCGCGGGACCGTCGAGGAACGACTCAGGACGAAAAGCAGGTCCCGGGAAAGGGGAGGAGGAGGAGGAGGAGGAGGAGGAGGAGGAGGAGGGCCTGGACCTCTGGGGGTCGACGCTGTGGAAAAAGTCACGACGTCGGGGTCTGCAAGGCTGCCCGCGTGAGGCCGTGCGCCAGCGCCCGCGGCTCCACGCGGTGTGCGGCGCGGGCGGCCCGCGTAGGCCGCGGCGTGAGGTCGCTGCGTCTTCTCGCGCGGGGCCCGTGCTTAGTCCGTCGCTCACCTGGCAGCGCGCGCGCGCGCCAGACGAGCAGCTGTCCCTCGTCGAAGACCACAGGCCCCTGTTGTCGCTCGGGCATGCATTTCGCGGCGAGGCCAGCGTCAGAAGAGCTGCACCAGCTTAGGGCAACTTGGACCGCCTTGAAGCCACAAGCACGCACGAAGCCAGACAGTGCACGGGGAGTGGACGCCCGAGCGATGGCAAGAGCCAGCTGAAGTCACCAGAGAAGAGAAAACCACCACCACAAGCCATGAGGGCTGGCCGCTCCCCGCCCCCCGAGCTGATAAAACATCCAGCTCCGGACGAGTTCCCAGAGAGTGCCCGGAACGGAGTGCCACCAGCTCGGGGGTGCGGCCTCGGGAACGGAGTTCTATGGAGTTCTGGTGAGGAGGAGGATCAGGAGGAGGTGGAGGAGGAGGAGGGGGTGGATCATGATGATGGTGATGATGAGGAGGAGGACGACGACGGCGACCCCGCTGGCGGCGCCTCCGGCGCCGCCCCTGGCGCGCGTTGCGCACGCCATACAGTCAACCCGCATAGTAAGGATGGGCAACCTTCCCAAGGGTACCCTTGCATCCTTGCCTCCTCGGTCCATCCTTCGCCGCTCTCGCTGGCCGCGCCCCGCTCGGAAAGCTACGAAATGGGCGTCCAAGGCCCTTGCGTCCTCATCGCGCATCCTCACTATACTGGTCGACTGTATGACGAGGCCCATCGCTCTCCCGAGACGAGGGCGAGAACGGGCACGAAGAGCAATTGCCATTCGTCGGAGAAGAACTACACATAGACAGTTGGCGCTCCGCGCGGCTTTCTTGGACCCGCGCTGGGCCCCCCCAGCGGCGCCTCTGGCGCCGCCCCTGGCGCCGTCCGCGCTCCGGGGAGGGGGGTCCGGCGTGGATCCAAGAAATCCGTGCGGACCTTCCAAAATTTATGTTCATGTTTATTTGGCTCCTCTAAGTAGAGAGACGGCCAAACCTGGCGCCATCTCCAGGCCCGCCCACGGGTTGGACACCTCCTTCAGACCCGCCCATGGGTGGGACATCGCCTTCAGACACGCCCATGGGTTGGACATCTCTTCTCGGTCCAGCGCCGAGCCAAGGAGTCGTGCTCATGCCGTTCTGCTGCTCCTGGGCCTCCGCCAGCAGGCCCTGCCCTGTCTCACCCCGTGCTGTGCCGTGGCCGCCCCTGGTCGAGCCCGCCCCCGCTCTGCATGCACCCCAGCACAGCGCGCGCCGCCGCCACACAGCGCGGTCTCCCGCAGCCGATCGGCGCGCCCTGGTTTCACCCCGCTGTCATGCACGACTGTGCCCTCTCCCCCAGGCCTCCTGACAGGGCAACCGGGTCGGACGAAAGAGGGGGGGATACTCCAGATTTCGTAATAAAGGGAGGGGGGTCTCATTTCGGGAGGGGGGTCTCTTCCAGGCTATCTTGGAGGGCCTGGGGGGTTCTGGGGACGATGTTTTTGGAGGGTTCTCCCACGGGGGAGGTCTGAAATGGCTTGTCTTGGAGGGTCCAGACCCCCTCCCTTTCACTACGAAATCTGGAGTAGGGAAAGGGGGGGGGACGAAATCTGCCACGTGCAGCTGGTCTCGGCCTCACCGCCAGGCGCATTCCTCGATACGCATCGGCGCCTCTGGCGCCAGGAGGCGCCGGGGAAGTCCGCTGCGTGAGCCGTCGGGGTTCGGAGACGGGGGCCAATGGCCAATGCAAACGGAGGTCAGCCAGGGCACCGGATCCTGCAGGATTCTGCGAAGACCACCTTTGGCTGACCCGGGTTGGCGAGCCGCTCGTGGCCGCGAGGCGGCCGCGCATGTTGGCTGGCCCGGGTTTGCGAAGCCCTGCGTCGCCTTTTGTCCTTGCTCTGCAATGTTTGTCGTTTCCTGCTGACCCGGGTCTGATTGACCCGGGTTAGTCGGAGCATCTTCTGTGGGTGGAGGGCAAATGGTGAAACTTGAAATGCCCTCCACCCCAAGAAAATGCTCAGTTAGTGGATCCCCGAAGCCGATTCGCCGGCCTCCCTTATTCAGGAGGGAAAAAACACACAGACACAATTAATCGTCGATTCCTCAGAAAATACAGGAAAATATGGGAAGTGGGGGGAAGACAGAACCTCATAAAATATGGGAAAATATGAGGAATATTTTTATTTGTGTGTATTTATTTTTGTGTCCCAGGGCCCCTTCACTTATGCTGTCTCCCTCCTCCGTGCGACCCGAGGCAGGCGAGCGGGGCCTCCGGAGCGCGCACCGCCTCGCTGGGGGCACCGAGGCGCGACGTGCAGTCGGCTGTTCTCCATATCCCGGCGGAGGCCGACGCCTCGGCGGTGCATCGGCGATCCCGTGCCACCGTGGGTCCGATGGCCCTCCTCCTCCTCCTCCTCCTCCGCCTCCTCCTCCTCCTCCTCCTCCTCCTCCTCCTCCTCCTCCTCCTCCTCCCCCTCCGCCTCCGCCTCCTCCTCCGCCGCCTCCTCCTCCCCTCCGATGGTCCTCCTCCGCCTCCTCCTCCTCCTCCTCCGCCTCCTCCTCCTCATCCTCCTCCTCCTCGTTCCCCTCCTCCTCCTCCGCCTCCTCCTCCCCCTCCTCCGCCTCCTCCGCCGCCTCCTCCTCCTCTTCCTGCATCGGCGATCCCGTGCGACCGTGGGTCCTGCAGTTTCCAGCGCCACTTTTGTGGGTTGCAGCTCCTGCTAGGTTGAGTTCAGCGTCGGCGCTGGGATGTCACCCATGCGAACCCGTCCTATCATCAGGCTCAGGTTAGTGCAATCCCGCTTCATCTGGCTCGATCCTGGGCGAAATCGGGCTCAGTAGCTTCCCGATACGGCTGCATTCGTCCCCGATTGTTCTCACGAAGACATCCTACGGGACCCCGGCCCGAGATGACCCCAAGAAGGCCCAGAGGACCTCCAGGGCACCCCTCACGAGGCCCAGAGGGCTCCGTCGCAGCGCGGCAGAGGCAATCCGCACGCGCTCAACTAGTCCAGGGCACAGAACACGAATTGTCCAGCGGCACAAGAGGGAGAGGAAGGCGGAAGGCGGCCGCGTGGGGGGCTGGGGGAAAGATGGAAGAAGGGAGGCACAGGGCTCCGGGAACACCAAAAAGTAGCGACAACCCGGGGGCAATTTCGGCCAGGGTCATTCTACGAGATTTCCAGGCCTCAATTTTCCTGCCTCCTGCTGAGGGGCCACGACCTGTCGGAAGGCTTCTCGGGGTGGGCGGAGACGAGGTCGGGGCCGAGGGCTCGCGGTGAGGAGGGATTGATGTGGGACTGCTCTCTTGCGCTCACGTGCCGATGAGAACACACAACACGAGGCTGCTCGCATTTTGCAAGCCGTACTTACATAGGCGCTCCTGGTCAATGGCCTCTCTCCCATAACGAATCAATACCCTTGGCCGTTCTCGCTCGGGGTGGTGCATACCTCCTTCACAATATTGCCCATTTGCACTGACCGTCAGAAACGCTTGGCCTAAAATACGGGTGACACGCCTGACAGTTTTTGTTGCCATTGCCTGTTCTCCCCTTCTCGCACGAGTTGATTTCAGAGTTGTAGCAGGTGGCTCGCTCGAGACTCTGGATCCAGCTTCCTTCCACTTTCACACAGTGGTATCGGAGCCGTCCAGCTTTCGTCCGCGCCCAGCCACAGCGACGAGGGGGAGGAAAGCCATCAGGCTATATCCTCACCCCCCGCTTTTCGCGTTCTCGCAGCGTCAGCGTCTGCTGCCACTGCATGCCCCCTTTCTCTCACGGGCGCCCGCCCGCACTTTCGGGTTCCGTCTTCGCTTCCAGCTTCTCCACACTCGTCGGATGTAGCTGACGGCATCGGGCTCGTTCTTCGACTTGCCTACCCACGTCGGGCGCCGATTCCGCCTCCAGCCTCCCGCGACTCGTCGGGTGTAGCTGATGGCATCGAGCTCGGCCTTCGACTCGCATGCCCTCACCCCAGCACTGTAGTTGATGTCGTCAGGCTCGTCCTTCGCCTGTCGGGTTTTAGACTCTCCCCGCGGCGCCAGCGTGTGCTGCCACTGCGCGCCCCATTTCTCGCACCGACTGCTCCCAGCATTGTAGCTGATAGTGGCCCACCCGCACGTTTCGCTCATCGCCAGCGTCGGCAGCCACTGCGGGTCCCCTTTTTCGCACGGGCTGCTCCCAGCGTTGCTGATCGTGGCACGCCCACACTTTCCTCGCAGCGCCAGCTTCGGCTGCCACTGCGCGCACCCTTCGCGCATGGGCTGCTCCCAGCGTTGCTGATCGTGGCCCTTCCGCACTTTCCTCGCAGCGTCAGCGTCTGCTGCCGCTACCTGCTGCCGCTGCTCGCCCTTCCCGGACGCGCTGATTTCAACGCTGTAGCTGAGGACGTCGGGCTCCAGCTTCACCTCCGTGTCCTGGAGCCCAGCCAGAGCCTGCTGCCACTGCCCGCCCTTCTCACACGCGCTGCCTTCGGCGCTGTGGCTGCTGTAGCTGAAGACCTCCTCTTCCTCCTCCTCCTCCTCCTCCTCCTCCTCCTCCTCCTCCTCCTCCTCCTCCTCCTCCCCTCCTCCTCCGCCTCCCCCCTCCTCCTCCTCCTCCTTTCTCCTCCTCCTCCTCCTCCTCCTCCTCCTCCCCCTGCTCCTCCTCCTCCTCCTCCTCCTCCTCCTCCTCCTCCTCCTCCTCCTCCTCCTGTATCCCTACTATCGCCCGCTCGCGGAGTCGGGCCAGAGTCTGCTGCCACTCCTCGCTCTCCTCGCACACGCCGGTCCCAGCGCTGCAGCTGATGAAGGCGCCGGGCCCCTGCGCTTCGATGCCGGCGTGCTGGGAGGCATCACCGGCGCTTGCCGGAAGGAGGAGGGAGAGGGGGACGCGGAGAAAGAGAGCACGGCAGGAAGGGAAGACGTCCTGGCCCCTCTGCGTGCGCCTCTCCCACGGCTGCGCCATGATTGGCGCAGCCGTCTCTCGACGGCACCGTGGCTGCTCGGTGGCGGGCGGGGCCCCATAGCATCGCCGTTCCGAAGGCTGCTTCGGGAAGGCTCGGGCAGGCCCACGCACGGAGGGGCCGCTCGGGCGCGGCGCGGCTGCGGCGAGGAGGGAGGGGGGTGGACAGGCGAGGGAAGAGGAGGAGCAGGAGGAGGAGGAGGAGGAGGAGGGATAGATAGAGGAGGTAGGGCAATCTAGGTGCGCAAGCGTCATGTCTGACGTCCTACCCCTCCCTCCAATCCCGTAGCTGCCATTGCGCAGACCTCCTCTCGATTCGCACAGTCGGATGTCGAGCTGGGCAATGATCCCGAAAGAGTGCGCGATGCATGGTATAGTACGGCAAAGCATGGCATAGAAAAGCACGGCCACAGCCGACATCGTCGCGTCGAGAACGCGGTTCGATCTGGAAGAACCGAAACAATGAAATGAGGTCAGCAGGGTAGGGGTGGGGAGGAGGGAAGAGCGAGGAGCGAGGAGCAAGAAAGGGGCATGGAGGAAGGAGCAGAAGGAAACAGGGCTTGTGATGATGCAGGTGGGGTCTGGGAGGGGTGCAGCACAAGAGGAGCACGAGGATAAGTGGCATGGCTCGAAGCAAGGCTGAGTGGGTGACGAGGGAGGTGGCGGAGGAGGACGACGAGGAGAGCGTGGAAAATCCCGCACCGGGCGGAGCAGCAGGAGCAAGGGCAGAGCCGCTCAAGGCCCGTCGCTGTTCGCCACTCCCGCCGCGCCCGCCGCGCCCGCCGCAAGCTCCCTCACGAGGCCCGGACCCCTGGGGCCCCGCCTCGAGAATTCGCCCCCCCCCCCCCCCCCAAGAGAAGGGGTGGAGGAGGAGGAGGAGGAGGAGGAGGAGGAGGAGGAGGAGGAGGAGGAGGAGGAGGAGCCCCCCTCTCTGGGGCCCCGCCCCGAGAATTCATCCCCCCGCCCCGCCCCCCGCGGCGGAGGCGCGCCACAGCGCGCGCCCCCTGCGGCCGGGGGGGCGGGCACGCGCCACCTGGCCCGCCACGGAGGAGGAGGAGGAGGAGGAGGAGGAGGAGGAGGAGGAGGAGGAGGGGCAGGGGAAGAGGAGCAGCATCAAAGGAGGAGATGCAGGAGTAGAAGCAGGAGGAGGAGCAAGAGCAGGAGGGGGAGAAGGAGGAGGA